GTAGGGGCGCCCCCCTCAGATGCTTCCTGGCGGCATCCTTTTCGAAGATGCTGTGCAACGTCTTGCTGCACAGGTCAATATCGCACTTCGCCGACGCACGGCGGCGAGGCTCACGCGTGCGCGGAATCGCGCGCCGGCGAGTTGAGCTGCCGCGATGCGCGCGCGGGGAGCGGAGGAGGGATGAGGGGGGCGTAGAGAAGGAGGGGGATTAGCAATGCGGAGCGCTTTCTCTTCCAAGTCGCAACATTGTAGGAGGCGCCGACAAAAGCCATGCGAGGCTGATTTCGCAGCGCGCGGATGTCTCATCGTGCGGCGGTGGAGGTCTTGAAGGCAGTAAACACAAAAACACGCGCGGTTCTTTTCTCCGGCCCAACGGGCGTGCTTCCTGGGGGTTCTTCATCTACGGAGGCGCGTGGGAGGCTTTGGGCAGGGCGGGCGCCAAACCAAAAAAAAGTCCACACCCAGCGGCCGCGCCAGGATAATCGCTCCTTGCGGTCTGGGCTAGCGAGTGTGCTTTCTCTATGCGGTTGGCGCTAGGAGCGCGAGGATGGTCGCGCTCCGTCGCGCGGCGGCAGATCCCGCGTGCGCAACGGGCAGCAAGAGACATCGAGAGTGGGATGCGCGCACGCCGAAGAGGGCGCAGGAGGAGGCAGGGAGGGGGGGGGGGCGTGGAAGAGGAAAGCGACGATTCGCAGACCCCTCTCGTGAATGGCCGAATTGGCTCGAGTACTCTCCGCGCGCTCAGCGCGCATGTCAGGGCCGCGCTCGAAACTATTTGCATCGATGCCCGATGGCCCCCGCGACCGGCCCCGCTCGCCACCAGCAGAGAAAGGCGCAGGCAAGGGCAACTTGCAGGCAGAGAAAGGCGCAGGCAAGGGCAAAGGCAAGGACAAGAGCACGGACGATGGTCTTGATGAGTGCTTGCAGTCAGCGCTGGAGGCCACGTTCACAGCATGCAGCCGCTCAAATTTTGAGATGTCGCAGGCATTCAAGGACGGGGGCGAATCCGCGAGGCAGAACCGCGAGCTGAAGAAAGCTGCATCGGACTTAACATGTCGGGTGGGGTACTTTGAGATGATTGTGAAGGTTTGCTTGTCCGATCACACCAAAGGCAAGGTGTTGAACTGCTCGCGTGCCAAGCGGGCGCGCGCGACAGAGGATTACGCAACGTGGCGGCGCCACAACCTTGAGGGCAGTCTATGGGGCCCAAGGTGCTGGAGCTACTGCGTCAAGTGCTGGATTTACATCGCGGAGAACAACGACGAGTTCGTCTACATCCGCGACTTGCAGTGCAACGATCGATTCCACGGCTGGGCCCCAAGTACAACTTGGGCGACATATACGACGAGCTTCGTCGGGATCGGTGGCCGCAGGATTTGGGACCACAGGTTTACATGAGGCAATTCGTAGTTTTGTTGGCCGCAAGGCCCACTGCTCGATTGGCTTCAACTTCATATTTATACAAGTTCGCCTCGAGCAGCGAATACCAATATAACCCGACTATATATGAATATCTATACATATACCTGTATACATACTCATATGTGTGTGTATATATATATACGTGGGGGCGCCCCCTCATATGTTGGTTTGTGGTATCCTTTTCGAAGATACTGTGCAACGTCTTGCAAGAACAGGTAAACATCGCACTTCGCCGACGCACGGCGGCGAGACTCACCCGCGCACGGAGTCGCGCGCCCGCGAGCTGAGGTTCCGCGATGCACGCATGGGGGCAGGGGGAGGGATGAGGGGGCTTTAGAGAAGGAGGAGGGATTAGCGATGCGGAGCGCTGCCTCGTCCAAGCCGCAACATTGCAGGGGGGCTCCGTCAAAAGCTATGCGAGGCTGAACTCGCAGCGTGCTGATGTCCCAGCACGCGGCGGTGGAGGTTTTGAAACCATTTGTTGTTGTTTGTTTTTTTTTTCAGAGTGCCTTACAACGAAGCTTTTTTGCATTCGTTGTCGAGTGGGGGGTCGTTCTTGGGAGGTGGGGGGTGGGAAGCCGCCACGAAAGGAATCCCTTTTGCATTCCATCGCAAAAAGAATTCCTTTGTATTCCGTTACAAAAGAATTCCTTTTGTATTCCGCCACAAAGGGAATCCTTCTGTATTCCGTCACAAGAAGAATTCTTTTGTATTCCGCCACAAAAGGAATTCTTTTGTATTCCGCCACACAGGGAATCTTTCTGTATTCCGTTGCAAAAGGAATTCCTTTGTATTCGCTATAAAAGGAATTCCTTTGTATTCCGCTACAAAAGGAATTCCTTTATATTCCTCTACAAAGGGAATCTCTTTGTATTCCGCTACAAAAGGAATCCCCTTGTATTCTGCTACAAAGGAAATTCTATTGAATTTGTATCACTGCCTGAAAACCTATGTTTTCACAGCTTTTCAGCTATTTTCAATGAAAAACATTGTTTTTTCATTGCCTGGCACAGCTATTCAGCTATTTTTAATAGAAAATATTGTTTTGTTCATTGCCAGGCTCAGCTTTCTTAGCTTTTTTAATGATTTTCCAACTATGGCGTATTGATTTTAATAAAAAGCTGTGAAAACACAGGTTTTTCTTTGATTTTCGAATGAAAAATCAAAGGAAACCCTGTGTTTTCACAGCTTTTTTGCTAGTTTCAATGAGAAACGTTGTAAAAAGCTGTGAAAACACATGGTTTTCTTTGCTTTTTCATTCGAAAATCAAAGAAAGCCATATGTTTTCACAGCGTTTCAGCTATTTTCAATGAAAAACATTGTTTTTTCATTGCCTGACACAGCTATTCAGCTATTTTTAATAGAAAATATTGTTTTTTCATTGCCAGGCTCAGCTATCTTAGCTTTTTTAATGATTTTCCAACTATGGCGTATGTATTTCAATAAAAAGCTGTGAAAACACATGGTTTTCTTTGATTTTCCATTGGAAAATCAATGAAAACCATGTGTTTTCACAGCTTTTTATTAAAACCAATACGCCATAGTTGGAAAATCATTAAAAAAGCTAAGATAGCTGAGCCTGGCCATGAAAAAACAATATTTTTTTTTTATTAAAAATAGCTGAATAGCTGTGCCAGGCAATGAAAAAACAATGTTTTTCATTGAAAATAGCTAAAAAGCTGCGAAAACACAAGGTTTCCAGGCAGTGATACAAATCAAATAGGATTTCCTTTGTAGCAGAATACAAAGGAATTCCTTTTGTGGCGGAATACAAAGGAATTCCTTTTGCGGCGGAATACAAAGGAATTCCTTTTGTGGCGGAATACAAAGGAATTCCTTTTGTAGCGGAATACAAAAGAATTCCTTTTGTAGCGGAATACAAATGAATTCCTTTTGTAGCGGAATACAAAAGAATTCCTTTTGTAGCGGAATACAAAGAGATTCCTTTCTCTCTCTCTCTCATTCTCGCTCTCTCTCTCTCTCTCGCTAGTACTGCTACTACTACTACTACTACTACTACTACTACTACTACTACTACTACTACTACCAACACTAGTACTACTACTACTACTACTACTACTACTACTACTACTACTACTACTACTACTACTACTACTACTACTACTACTACTACTACTACTACTACTACTACTACTACTACTACTACTACTACTACTGGTTCTAAGAGCACCACAGATCCTGTGAGCACCACAGAGCCCACGAGCACTGGTGCACTATATATTAACCCCGCAATACTTGCATCCACCACAGGTCCTATGAGCACCGCAGAGACGGCGGAGGAGAGCGCAAAGCGCGGAAATCTCACTGATCAAGGGAAATCTCGTGCTATTTTCATCGCGTCTGGTCTGCAGAGAAGCTGGTAGCTAGCAGCTACCCTAGGAATGCTGGCGAGCAGCCAGCTTAGGGTGAGGACGAGGAGGAGAGGGAGGAGAGACGACACTTGATGGCGAGCGGCCATCTTGAGACTCATAGCCGGTCCCCGTCTGGAGTGAGGAGAACAACCAAAGTGCTTTGAGGCACTTCAGAGACAGCCGTAATATTGTCCAGCATTGAACTTACCACGCATTGCACCTCATCAAGAAGAATTCCATTCGCCGCCCATTCCCCCTTCCACCTCTGAGCGTACCACAGCTCTTCAACAAGACTTGAATCTGTGAGCGCTGCACGTTTCATATAGCAACGTCTGCTCTTGTAAGTTGGAATATCTATGCGGCCGAAAAGACCCTTCGAACCCAGAATAGTACAAGATTTGAACTCATTCCTGAATAGCTTAGAAGGCGTCCCACCAATCTGAGCAGTTGACCGGCCATCAACAGTGAAAGCCCGCATAACCGAATTTATGTTATCCACGCGGCCAATATGGGCATCTGCATATTTGTATGTAGGCCACTTATGCATAGATGTCTCACTAACGATGCAATGCAAGTTGATATCTTTTGCAGTATTGGCGTTCAACTTGTTCTTCGCTGCGGCGGCCAGCAATCCACCATCCAATGCGTGTACCAAATAAGAAATAGCATTTGACGTATGCAAAACCATATTGTCAATTGGAAGCCGAACAGATGTGAAATATTATTGTTTTTTCCTCTGCTATCGTTCGGCACGCCCGTTGCTGTCTGTGCTCAAGTCAAATCAGGGGTTCATGCTCACCTGGGCCGACCTCCTAGGCCTCGCCCGCGATCTGCTGCCCGCGGCCTTTCACCTGCGGACGTCCCTGGCGGCGAGCACGTGCCCCGCGTGCCCCTCGCTGGAGTGCCCGCACGTGGTGCTGCCGGCGTGTCCCGGCTTGCAGTGCGGGGACTGCTCTTGCCCGGAGCCGGCCGGCCTGAGCGGGCTGGGGCCGCTCCTCTGGGCGGGCGCGGGCATCGCGCTCGCCAGCGCCTTGGCTGGGGGCTTCACGGGCTTCCTGCTGGGCGCGCTCGTCGGCGCCCCGTGGCGGCGCCCAGCCGAGGCGGCGAGGCCGCGCGCGGCGGCGGCAGCAGCGACTGGGCCCGCCTTTCTCGAGGCGGGGGGGCGGCCTGCCGGCGCGGGGCCCACCACACCGGCGCAGCTGAGGGATGCCCACGCTTGACACACGGTGTGCGCAGGTGTTGGTTCACTACCCAGATGATCCGAATGGGCTGGTGTGGCATCATCGTGTGCTGTTACATCGCATTAGTGGCGGTCGGTGGGTGTGCCTCACTCCCGACTTGCAGCTGCAGATCCATGATCTCAACGACCAGAGGCACAAGGTGCTGTCGAGGAGGGCGGCCTTCCCGGCCAACGTGGCGGCCGCCTCGTACGTGTTCGACGACGACGCGGTGTCGGCCGCCCAGATGGAGGAGTTCAGGGCACAGGCGAAGGTGCAGGCAGCGATCCTCGGGGACGGCGAGTTCGATGACGTCGAGGTCCACAAGTGGGTCGTGTACCAGGTCGACGACGAGCACTTCGGCAAGGAGGTCCCCGAGGAGGTGCTGGCGGACGCACAGAGGTTTGTCAGCCTCGGGAACCTCGGCGTCGTGGACTGGCTCGGAGCCAAGCGGTTCGTGGAGCGAGTCAGGGACGACAAGGTCGACGACTGGAAGGAGAAGCGAGAGTCTTCGGAGGGCGACTCGAGGATCCTCGGCCTGCATCGGAAGAGGGGGAAGCGGAACTTGGCCCTCTCGGATGCGGTCGATCTCTTCACGGAGGAGACGTTCGAGGATTGGCCTTTCCCGCCGCCAAGGGCGGCCAAGGAGTACTTGGAGTCGATACGCGACGGGCCTGGCTCGATGGTGGTGTACGAGAGTGAGTGGAGGCAGGACAGTGGTGTTGGCGACGGTACGGCGGCGCTTCACGAGCACCGCAACAACGCCGAGGTCCTGCGGCTGGCCCACCAGGTGGACCAGCTCAACATACCCAACCTGGCGTGCTTCGAGCAGTTGGTGCGCAGGCAGATCCAAATCGAGATGGCGGTCGAGAGGAACGCGAAGCATCCCGACTACGCCGGCCTGGACCTGGTCATGGGCGGCCCGACTACAGAGAGCGGTGCGGCGGCCAGCGCGGGCTTCCGCGGCTGGATCTACAAGAAGCAGGGAGAGCGTGCACAGACCCTCAAGCAGTCTCGTCTTCTTCGTGAGGAGCGGCTCAATGAGGACAAACGTTACAAGAGTGGCAAAGGTGGCGATGATCCCCCCCCGAAGAAGCCTCCAAAGAAGGGGGGGCCGAAGGGGGACGACAAGCAGGCGGGGAACTGACCCCAGTGGTCAGTTCCCTTGTGGCTGGGGCGGCTCTTCAGCATGTCCGTCCCCGCCGACAGTTTTGACCGTGGAGGCGCTGGCGTTCGGCGGCGACTCTGCAGCCAGAGGCGGCATGGCGAGATCTTCCCGCTTCCGTCGCCGGCGGCTCCGAGCTTGGCTTCTCCTGGCGCTCCTCGATACGTTCAGCAGCGTCGGCGTGAGCAGCTCCATCGGCATCAGCGAGAGTGTGAAGCGGTTAGATCACTCAACCAGCTCGCTGCCGCAACCACTTCTTTCTCGAGCGTCTCAAGTACGCGACGATTCGGAGGTGAGCGGGGGACGCCCTTGCAATGCGACGTCCTGCAGCACGTCGCTCGGCGCGTCAAGGCGTACGGCCCGCCGCCTCGAGACCTGGACGAGGACGGAGCCCTCGCGGAGCTCCTTGCGTCCAGGGACCTGTACTCGCAGGAGCCGAAGAACCTCGCTGAGTACGACATCTCGAAGCTCAAGATCTGCCGCTCGGGTACCGTGGCGAAGGACGCAAAGACGCTCTTGCCGCCCGAGACGGCGGGCCTCATCAAGCACTATAGGCATTGCGTGGAGCGCGATGCGGAGCAGATACTGGAAGCTCAGGTGGCCCAGGTTTTTCCTAGGCCGTATTGGGACCCGAAGCTGGCGAGGGACCACGACAGCCTCTTCGAGCTCGTGGACCGCCTCAGGGACGCCAACCTCATCGGCTTCCGCAAGAGGCTCAAGGCGAAGGTCGGCATCTTTTTCGTCAAGAAGAAGGACCCCGCGTGGATCAGGCTCATCATTGACGCCCGACAGGCGAACCGCTGCCACAAGACGCCCCCGAAGACACGGTTGGGGTCGGTCGGGGGCTTCTGCGAGCTGGACCTCTCGGACACCGCGCTGCGGGACCTCGGGGGATTCGGCGGCATCGCGGAGATCTGGGGCGGCACCAGCGACGTCGACGACTGCTTCTACCAGATGCTGGTCGAGGAGCTGGGGTCCTGGTTCGGGATCGACCTCCCGCGGGCCGCGGGCGCCTGGGGAGTTGCCCAGGTCTATGACGATGATCTGGGTCGGCGCGTGGCGGTCGAGCCTTCTGAGGTGGTCTATCCTGTTTTCCACGGCATGGCCATGGGGTGGGCGTGGGCGTTGCACTTCGCGAACGAGGCCGTCTCCTACCTGGCCTCCAAGAGCGCAGTGTGCCCCCGCTCGCTGGTACGCGAGCGTACGCCGGCCCCAGTGCTGCGGGCGGGGCAGGCCGTGTCGGGCGTGTACGTGGACAACTTCACCACGCTCGCCGGCGACCGCGAGACCGCGCTCGACTCGGTCCAGAGGTTCAGGCGCGCGGCGGAGGAGGCGCACATCGGCACCCACGTCGACTCCGAGGTCGGCGTGGTCTTCGAGAGCCTCGGAGTGGTCTTCGACGGGAAGCGGAGGTGCTTGCGCCACGTGCCGCGACGCGCCTGGCGCGTCTACCTGGCCACTCGCGCCCTGCGGCGGCGCCGCTGGATCCACGGCAACGTCATGGAGATCTGGCTGGGGCACGTCGTCAACCTGTTCAGTCTGTCTCGGCCGGCGTTGGCGTGCTTGCAGGCGGTCTACCCCTTCGTCGCGGCGGCGCGCGGGAGGCGCGTCCGCCTCACGCCGGCCATCAAGAATGAGATGCGGCTCGTGCAGGGGCTGCTGTTTCTGTCCGAGTACGACCTGGGGGCCGACTTCAGCCACGAGGTGTACTGCTCCGACTCCTCGAGCTTTGGGTACGCTTTGCTGTCGACCACTGCGACGAGCTCGGAGCTTCGTGACCTCACCCGCTATCGTGAGAGATGGCGATTCAAGCTCGTCGACTCACTGCCCGAGGTCGGGCTGCTTCGTCCAGAGTGGGTCGAGTACGCGGGGGGCCGCCTCGCGCCTGGAGGGTCGTGGGAGTTTCCTGAGGGTGCCTATGCTGACGTTGCTGTGCGAGGGTCTCGACCCTGTGCCATCGGCCCGCAGACGCAGTATGGGCGCTCGCTGGAGGCAGCTGCCCAGGAGCGGCCTTTTTCCCGGCCTCGAGTCGGGCGCCGCTCACGGGATCCACGGCCGCGGCCCAGGCAGGAGGAGGTCGAGGTCCCGAGCGCCGTGCCCCCGATCGACCGCTGCTGGGATGATGTCCGAAGGTGGAGGCACCTTCGAGTCGGGCGCTGGCGCTGGACAGAGGGGCACATCAATGTCAAGGAAGGCCGCGTGTCCCTCTTCGGCCTTCGCCGAGCGACGCGCAGTCGCCACAACCACGGGAGGCGGGTCGCCTCTATCGGGGACAACCTGGTCTCAATCTGTGCCTTCGAGAAGGGCCGCGCGAAGTCGTGGGCCCTCAATGCGCTGGCGAGGCGGGCGGCTAGCTACCAGATTGCTGCTCGGATCCGCTGGCACTCACGGCACGTCGAGAGCAAGCGCAATGTTGCCGATGCCGGCTCGCGCCTGCACGAGACTGGGGGAGGGTCGACAGGTGGTCCAGTCGGAGTTTCAGAAGATACCACATCATGTACCATGCGATCCGACACTCCCCCGGCCTCATCTTCGGTCCCTCGGCCCGGCGGTGGACGACACCTCCGAGCGCCTTTTCCAGTACAGGAGACCGTGGCTCTCGAGCTCTTTGCCGGCGAAGCGGGCCTCACTTGTGCTCTCCGGTCCCGCGGACTGCGGGTCGGGCCGCCGTTCGAACTGGAGCGTGGTGCGAGGTTTGACCTCACCAGGAAAAGCACTCAGAACCTCATCAAGTCCTGGATCCTCTCGGGCCTCATATGGTATATCCACTTGGGTACCCCATGTACGGTCTGGTCAGTGGCGAGGCGAGGGGTGTCTAATCTTGGGAAGGCTTACGCTAAGGAGGCGGTGGCGGTGGAGCTGGCCCTCTTCACCGTGGAGGTCTGCGTCTTGGCCTCTAGATGTGGAGTCCTCTGGAGCCTGGAGAATCCCTCGTCGTCGGGTCTCTGGGAGTTCAAGCCTGTCGTGGACCTCATGGGGCTCCCCCAGGTCTTCAAGGTCTCCTTCCACATGTGCCAGTATGAGGTCCAGCACAAGAAGCCCACCACAGTGCTCACCAACGTCCAGGCCCTGCGTGGGCTTGCAGCCAAGTGTTCTGGGGGACATGTGCATCGCGTCCTGGAAGGGCAGGAGCGAGTCTTGGGAGCAGATGGAGTCTGGCGGTCACAGTGTAAAACAAAGACAGCGGGAGCCTATCCGTCATCATTGTGCTCGAGATGGGCTTCTCTCATTTTTGAGATTGCACCAGCCGCTGCGTGCGGCTCACAGCCAAGTTTCGTCAACCAGTGGGATGAAGATCTTGCCTCGCTTGTCGGACGGAGACGTTGTCCAGCCGACCAGGGAGCGCCTCCGCGGAGTGGTGAAGGGAGCGATTCTGAAGTCCCCGCTCGAGCGACGGACTACATCCGCGACCACAGGCTACGGTTTGGCCGCCACCGCCCGCTCTGGGCCGCGGAGGCAGAAGGCATTGAGGAGGCAGGCGGTGGCCGCTAGAGCTGCTGCGCCTCCCGATCGCTTCCTCCAGGAGAGCACGGCTGGCGAGAAGGCGAAGGACATCTACCGCCGCGAGCTGGAGAAGTTCTACGACTGGGCCGAGCAGCAGGGCCGTCCCGTCGGATCCCTCTCGCTGGCGACGACGATGAAGGAGTATTTCTTCAGCAAGTTCCAGGAGGGCTATGGGCCGAGCGTCGGCCGCGCCGTCTTCTTCGGGTATCTGTTGCTGAAGTCCAACAACTACAAGCAGGAGCGGGAGCGCCTCAGCGACGTCGAGAGAGCGATCGCCGGCTGGGCCAAGCGGTCCCGCGAGGTGGTGAAGGACCCAGCGCCCCAGGAGGTGCTGCTGGACATGGGCGCGTGGATGCTGGACAACGGCCGCGGTGAGAGCGCGGCGTGCTTGGCCCTTCAGCTGGACGACTACGGGCGCCCGTCCGAGAGCGTCGAGCTGGTGGTGGGCAACATGCTGCCGCCTGTCCCAGGTGTCCGCGGCACGGCTTCGCGGGACTGGGGCGTCGTCTTCGCCCCCGCGGAGCTCGGCTTCGTCACCAAGACTGGCCAGGTCGACGACTCCGTGGTGCTGGGCAGTCCTTCGCGGCCGTGGGCTCCGAAGGTGGCTGCCGCGCTGGTCCAGCGCGTGGCGCAGACTTCCGGCAACCGTAGCATGCCAGCTGATCCTCGTGCTCCTCTTTTTCGCAGCTTGACCTTGGCAAAGTACGAGCACGACTTCAAAGCAGCGTCGAAGGCCCTCAACTACACTAAGCTGAACGTGACGCCTCACACCGTCAGGCACACCGCCCCGTCTCACGACATCTACCACAAGCATCGGAACCTTGAGCAGGTGCGACGGCGCGGCCGTTGGGCGGCCAAGAAGAGTGTGACCAGGTACGAGCGCCATGCCAAACTGTTGAAGCAGTACGGTAAGCTCGACCGCGTCCAGATCTCAAGAATGAATCGTTCAGCCCAGTCGTTCCCAGAAAAGTTGTTGGCCTACCTGAGGAAGCGCTGAAGTGTTGTCGTCTTTTGGGCCTTCCTCCTTCGGTTCTACCCGCCCGCGTACCACCCTTTCATCGTGTCCTTGACCCAGAGTACCCATATGGGCGACTGTATGGGAGTGCCGAGCTCGGTGGCAAAGAGTACCAATTCATGTGTGACAGGAGCTCTTTGGACGGAACAGTGCGGTTGTTCAGACGACCATCGTGAAAATGAGTGCAATGCTGAGGCCAACCTTGTTTTTATATAGCCTTTCGGCTGTCTCCGTCGGCCTGGTAGTGGGTTGGCTCTCTGAGAGGTTCTGGGCGTGCACTTAGATTTTAGAGGAATGTGAAATATTATTGTTTTTTCCTCTGCTATCGTTCGGCACGCCCGTTGCTGTCTGTGCTCAAGTCACCCGCCCGCGTACCACCCTGTATAAAAGGGGAGTGCCGAGCTCGGTGGCAAAGAGTACCAATTCATGTGTGACAGGAGCTCTTTGGACGGAACAGTGCGGTTGTTCAGACGACCATCGTGAAAATGAGTGCAATGCTGAGGCCAACCTTGTTTTTATATAGCCTTTCGGCTGTCTCCGTCGGCCTGGTAGTGGGTTGGCTCTCTGAGAGGTTCTGGGCGTGCACTTAGATTTTAGAGGAATAATTGTTTCCATCCCTTCTCCTTGCTTGTGCGCACTACAGTATCATTGAAATTGCCATCCAATGCGTCGTCTCCAGCAATTATCCATATATCTTTAATGTCATAAGTGTCCGAAGCGAAACCCTTTGTCGGCTGAGGAGGTGGAATTATCGATTTTGGGTAAACCCTGACACTAATGTCATAAGTGTCCGAAGCGAAACCCTTTGTCGGCTGAGGAGGTGGAATTATCGATTTTGGGTAAACCCTGACACTGAGATCATCGTCTTCCTCGTCCACCCACGGCCTCTTCTTGCTAGTTAACGGTAAAGATTTAGGCTTCGCTGTCCTCGTGGCTTCTGCATCGGTTGATATGTCCAAGGGCTTGCCATTGGAGCTGGTCTTGAGGTCGCCGAAACATTGTCCCTCGCACTCGTCCTCTGTAGAAGAAGATGATGACGAGCTGTCCTTAATAGTTGCTCTCTGTCCGCCAACTTCATGCGTTGTCTGATAACCACTATAAAAATTCCCAGCGTATTGACACCCATAATAATTGCCAGCATATGGATAATGCATAGGAACGTACACAACTGGTTGAGGATGCGCTGAAGAAGAACCACCGTTTGAATATTGATTATTTGTCTTGGCAAAGGGTCCAGATTCGAGAGCGAGTGCAGCCTCTGGGAACAAACTTTTCCAAATCCCAATTACTCCACCTCCTTTCTTTTTGGCTTCGTGCATTTTTTTCGAAACCTTTAAATTGTGCGTTGCCTTCAAGTCTTTCCATAACTTGTCGCCGAAATCACCCCAGCTTCGGCACCTGGAAATGACTTCGGGCTGGGGGCCCGCACTGCGGATTATACGCTGCAGTTCGTCCATTCGCCGGAATACGGATGCGTCGAACAACGAAAACCTTGAGCCGCAGGTTCTACGGATCAGTTGGAGTCGCAACCGGAATACAAGAGCAGAGGCTGATCCACGACCCAGGCACGGCGCAGGAAGGAGAGCAGGCGATATATTGATAATGATGATAACCCTGATATTGATAAATATGACATTGGAAATGGTGATAATCTGTGTAGCGATGATAATGTGTATGAATGATGGTATTGATTAGAATGAATGATTTTTTTGCGGCGCAACTTGAACAGCGAAACTGTTGTAGGCTGCGCCCCTGTCATTATGAAGACGATCAGTCTTCTTTCGCGCGCGACGCCTGAAGTGAAAGCGAACAGCTTCCTTGTGAGAACAAGCAGTCCTCTTAAAGAAAGGGCCTAATTGTTGATGTGTTTCAACTCGTTTCCAGTGAACGAGAGAGGCTTCATCGCTTGCGTTTCGGCGTGCGCTTCTGCTTCGGCGTACGCTTCTGCTTCGGCGTGCGCTTCTTCACTTTTCTGAGTGACATGCATGTGCCTGGGTAGTCCTTCCTGGAATTCCCCGCTGTGAACTTGTTGCGCCATAAACAGTAATGGTACAAGAAGCATCGGTAGCGAGCGCGCTTCATCTTTGACAGCCAAGCCAATTTGTCCAAACGCGACCACAACTGTTCCGCCGCCTGAGAGTTCAATGTCTTTTTATGAACAATGGCTGGTGTTTTGCACTTGTGCTTCTTGCTGTGATACCCATCCAGATAACATTTATCGCATAGCGATCCTTCGAAATGCTTAGCGACTACGCAACCACAATCGCACGCGTACTTGCCAACAATCATCTTGGTTTTCTTCATATCAACTAAACATTCTTTTTTGTATGCTGTGTTCTCACCGTTCAACATCTCACCCAAATGAAGAATTTCGTTGCCACCTCCCTTGCGGTTCTTCATGTTCACGGTTGCGTAGAGCCCGCCAGTTTGAGTGCGCGCAATCTTGATGTTTTCAATCTGCGTCACTGCTCTGCACCTCGACTTTGATTTCGCCTTTGCTTTAGCAGTGGCATGCATCTTCTTGATGGCTCTTTCCAATCTCTTGGAGTTGGGGCGTCCAGGAAGATTTTTCTTTGCATACTTCTTCTCTGTCTCCGCCAGTTTCCGATTGCATTGGAAATTGCCGTCGGTGACAACGTCAAGTTTACCGCGCGGTTGCTCGTATAACGGATCGTCCCGGGCAGCATTGAAAATCACGTGCAGGCCTTTGTTGTCCACGTCGAAAACTTCGTCGCCATCTGGCACTGGGTCGTTGACATCAAAGTCAAAGACGCCCTCTTGCAAGCGCAAGAAACAAAATATAGCTTGCCAAATGGCACCGCTTAGTTGGTAATTATTCTTTACAGATTGAACTGCTTTACTGGAATTCCCGATGCTGATGTCAGGATACGACAACGATATCACTGCCGCCTCGGCACCCGCCGATACACCTGCGCGACACATTCGATGCCACATCTGCACAAGGTAATTATATGTGAAGCCAAGTTGTGCGTGCACTAGAAGAATTGGGTTGTTATCAGTTTTCGTCATAATGTTTTCCTTTGAACCAGAACGCGCAATGTAGTTTAGTTTGTAACGTAACCCACAAGATCTGTTCGTGCAAAGCTTCGTTGAGTGGCGCACCGTGCTCCACTCAGCTCCGTTCCAAACAGTAGCATCATGCGTCCAGCAGTGCCCTTGCTTCTTCTCTAAATCAGAGCCGCATTCTTTGCACGAATCTATATCCGGCCAAATTATCGGAATAATTTCTTCTACCATTGCAGAGCTGACTTCTCTGGGGTCGGCTAGAAGCCGACTTGTTTCCGGTTGGCAAACAGCCAAGATGTTTTGAGCCGATGGCTACTGCCGCGACAACAATCAATATTGCCATCGCAACGATATGAAAGCGCACGCATGATTAAGTGCATCTGCAAGGCATTAGTTCTTTTTTCTCAAACGCAACATTAAATCGAGTTTCTCCTACATCGCTAGCAGCGACAGTATGCAAGCACGCGCGTGGGCTTCGCCGCTAGCAGCGGCGTTATACAAACGATCGGCATAAGTTTCGCTGCTAGAAGCAGCGTTTGTATATGCAATCGACCAGCAGTTGAAATCTCAACTACCAAAATGTACGAAGTTAAAAAGCGAAAGGTGCAAATTGACAGCAAGCAGCTGCCTTCAGATTCAGTCGCAGAGTTGCGCGAACCTCTATCAGTACATACCCTCACGTTGGTGACCAAACACGTCCTCCTCATCCAAATCGTTGTTGCTTGGGCGAGATCCCGCTGACATTCCCGCGTTGACGCGAGACTCATGAACAGCGCGGGCCACTTCCTCTCTGTTAGTTTCCTCCCACGCTCTCTCCATGTTCTCATCTTCGCCGACTAGATCTGCCTCGGCCGTGGTCCTCTCTTTTTTGGGTGCGCCAGGAATCTCTGGCTCCTCTGCCCTGCTGCGCTTCCTCTCAGGCGTCTCAGGCGTATCAGCAGTCAGATCAAACTCGCTTCCGTGGTGAGGCTCTGCTTTCATTGATAGAATGCGCTGCCTTTCTTGCATGTCCTCGATGGTACCACAAAACGCAATCGGGGCTGCATTCGCGCTGCGTTCCAAAGAGCTAAACCCAGCAGCCGTCAATAGGGGATGGTCGTATGACTGAGGCGCCATTGATGGATCATTGAACAATCCTCTGGCGCCCCGTGCAGATGAAGGCCTGATCGTTCTGGAACGGGGAATCGGCTCACCTCTCATAGCCCTGCTCAAATATTCCAACGACCACTTCACATCCTCATGGTAGTTCGGCGGGACCTCCTTTAACTGTCCATTTTTCCACTTCTGCATAAGGATTTTCACTTCTGGTTTGAATATATCCATTTCTTCACCAACCGGCCAATGGATGATTGGCACATCCACCATCTCTTTGGTAGCATTGCGGTGGATGATCCCTTCGCGAGTAACGACGATGGTGTGGAAACGACGCCTGAATGCAACCCAGTCCTCTTCGTCGGCCTCTTTATCTATTGACGGCATAATAAGTTTTTGCCAATCCTTGTCGGTGATCTTATCTTTGCGCAAAAACCTCTTGGACAATTTGCTGTCGTATTGCTGACTCACAGCTTGGCGGCACGAATACATGTCGAACCCTGAACCTCCCCACCTGGCCCATAGAAGAGCATCTACCTCTGCGGGATACAAAAAAGCTTTCACCAGATCGGCGCCAAGCTGATAGAACTTCCCGTCATCAAAGATACACGGCTTGAAAACATTGTTTCGCTCGCCTCTGAACATATCAATAAATTTGGCGGTCGCTATGGCAGGTTGAACATCGTCTCTCTTTTCTTCTTCTATCCAATGATTGGACACCATGAAGGCGTGCGTCCGTGAACACAAACTTTTACCGCATTCCGAAATTCCGATCCATAGAATTCCATGTTCCTTATGCGTTGCAATCTTATCTTTCAGGACCAAGTCCATGAACCACGGCTTCAAATCTTTATAGGTTGTGAAATTGAAATCAATCTTTCTGGCAGTAGACGCGCCTCTTGCCAAACAGTCTAAGAACGATCTGCACTTTGCTTCTGGCCAATCCAAGATTGGGCTTCCTGGCTTTTTGGTCCACACGTCAACCCACTCCGCGAATTGCCCTTCGTTGTTTGAGGAGGGTCTCATCTTTCGCATGAACTCGTAACCAGCTGAGATCTTGTTGAAATCAACTTGCTTCT